ATTTGTTTTATTAAATAGGTTATATGCCGAGCTTGTGTTTCTTCCCATACTGATAAACTTCCAGTTCCGGTTAATGTGACTTTTTTATTTTTATACGGTTCCTTTTACAGCATTGGCATTTTAAAGTAATTAAAATATAACAATTTAAATAGAATAGTTGTTCAAGTGTAAAACAAGATACTGGAGTTAATTAACTGCTCATATTTTAGACATGGCGGGGAAAAATGTTATTTAATGCAGTGCTTCTTGTATCCTGATGCCCACTTTATATCGGATTTCACTCAGGCAGTGGAGATCTCTGATTTTTAAAGAAAACAAACCTTAAACGCGCTGAATTTGTAAAGGCATAGAGTTCACTGGAAGCGCGTGAGCCAGGTTACTGACAAATTAAAAGTACTTCCGCATACTTCTGCATATACCCTAATTATTATTGCCAATATGCAATAATCTTATAAAACATGAGCCAAAACACTAAAAACCAATGTTGAAGTGAAAAATAAGGCATGGCTATTAGCAGTGGAACATAATTGACATTGTTACTTTCATCCTCAAAGGAACTCTTGCAATTTAACCTGGTTTAAAAACTAAAAAACCTCAGAGATTTGAAACTTAAGGATGTGTTATTGCACTAAATAACCTGTAGATTGATCATTAGTGTGACACATGAAAAGAGAAACACAACTTGTAATAAGGAAAAAAATATTATTATAATAATTTACTCGCACTTAAAAACGGAAACTTGGAGCTAATAGCTAACGTCCTGAAATCACTTATTTGGCAGCTCCATCAAATGTTGTATGTCGAATGTGCTGTTATAGCCTGGAAATCAAATGTTATCAGGGCTTGGAGAAAATCGCTTTGTTATTTTCATCCCACCTTAATTTCGTCCTCACTCTCCCCTTGTTTTTACAAATTTAAGTTAATTGAAGATAAAACAGTTAAGTTGACCCCAAAAAAACTTTTTTTGTGTTTGTTGGTTCAACTCATTTTAAATAAATAGTTTGAACAAGCAGCAAACATATTTTCTGAGTAACACATATTCACTAATTTAGTAGTTTTTGTCACAATTGTGACATTTAAATAATACAAGTAATAATAAAATATAATGTTTAATGATAAACTGCAACACTAATAAAGCCAGTTATTCTTTGACATCTTATATTGCTTCTCAATTAAATATCATGTTTCAAAGATATTTTAATTTTATAGTGTTGAGTTACAATATAACTTGCATTTCTGGAACATACATAGTTGGCTTGAGAAAGAAACTGAAATGGTAAACAGGTATTCATAATCTTCAAATACAGAGAAATCTCAGAGAAGCCTCCCTGTAAACAGGAGCACGTCTTTGCAAGTTAGCATTAGCCGTCATCTGGTCACTATGGCAACACTACAAATGAACCGCAACAGTTTTGTAGTTGTAGCTGCTGTGAGCTTTTTGGGTTCAAAGGAAGGAAAGAGTAGTTGCAAAAAATATTCATCTTCTAGTGTGTATGTGTGTGCGTACACGTGTGTGTGTGTATGTGTGTGTGTGTGTGTGTGTGAGAGAGAGAGAGAGAGAGAGATGGAGGGAGGGCTAGATGGTAAACAACTTCCCTCCTTTCATATCTCACGTATTGAACAGTATGAAAAGGCACTGATGAGGGGAACAGCGAGAGGATATTAAACATTGGTCTTTTTGTACTTTCCATCTTTTGTTTACAGTCATTTGACGTCAATCTCTCTCTCTCACACATACACATGTACCCAGATGGACGCCATGCAAATGCTGACAAAATGTTCCTTTAAAAAAACAACAAAAAAAAACAATAAAGTTGGTTGGAAAAAAAAGCCTTCTTAAAGGTTTCTCTGGGTTTATTTTCACGAAGGGGAACTGTAAAGGCCAATTATGCAGAAAGGAAATATTAATTGACTTCATGTGAGATTACACATTTCAAACAGTCAGCGCTGCTCGTGTTAGTCAGCATGAGATTGGCATCGGAAACAACTATATTTAAATCATGGCCTCTTGCTGTTGCTAAAATGAAATTTTCAGGAAAAGATGACTACATTTCAGGCTTGCATTTCTTTCTCTCTTTTTTTTAAGAACAAAAGGGATTCAAGGATGGCACAGGTTCTTCATGGAATAATTGTTGTCAATAAATACAATTATTACAGCGGGGAAAATAAATTTAGAACACGTCACATTTTTTCCTGGTAATATTAACAGTTCTAAAGGAGCTTTTGACAACCAGATTTTGATAAACAAACAATAAAAACATTAAAAAAATATGAAAAACTAGTTATGTGTAATGATGAAATGACACAGGGAGAATGTACAGAACTGTATTTATTACTTTATATTAAAGGCTTTATGATGATGGCAGCTTAAAGACGTCTCTCATATAGAAAATGAAGTCATGAATGGCTCAGGTGTGAGTTTATAAATCACAGAGTGTAAAAATCTTGATGGCTCTGTGGGTCTCGTCTATCAAACCTGATCTTTAATTTGTCTTTTCGATTGGATTCAAGTCAGGTAATTAGCTGAGCCAGCTTGATTTTCTTTCTCTGAAAGCATTTGAGAGTTTCCTTGGCTGTGTTTTGGATCATTGTCTTGTTAAACTGTCCACTCTGGTTTCGTCTTTATCATCCTGATAATGTAGATGTTGGACTGAAGCAGCTGATATTCATTTACTATGAGGAAGGGCAGAGGGTTGTTAAAGAACTACAGTAAAATTTCAGCTGCTGTCTGGGCTGGTCTTTCACTGCCTTTCTACACCTTACTTTCTTTATGAGTCAATACTTTTTTCCTGCGTCATATTATTTTATTACACATAACTTAATTTGTAAACTAATTAAATTTGTTTTCTTTGCATATATGAATTTCTTTGGTTGTTACCAATATCCAGGGAAAATTTAAAGTCAACGGCACCTTTAGAAATTTGTTTTGTGAGAAAACGTATGACGTGTTCAATACTTATTTTTCCCACTAAGTTTATCTGTGCTGTAAACCAAAATCATTTTCTTTTTTCTTAAAAAACAAAGTAAACTCAGCACACGTGAAGCAACACTAACAAAATCCTTTGAAAGCAATCCTATATTTTCCTTTCTTTTCTATGTGCATATATCTAATAAAGGTCATGGGATTGAAATCTCATACAGTATATAATAAAACATTCATACAGCAATTATTGGTAGTGTGCAGGAATGTTTGTTTCCTTTTTGCTTTAACAAAAATGGAAAATTTCAAGTAATTTAAGAAAACTAATGAGAAATACACAAGTAAAACAAGAGATAGGGTTCACATTAGTCTATTCATAATAAAAATGGCATAAAATAACCACTGGACATGTGCCATGACAAAATCATAGTGTTCTGTGAAATGCCTTATAATACCATGTACATTTATATTGCATAAATATGACAATCATACCATAATCAGTATAATAATATATAATAAAAGTACCATTATACTGTGTAATGCATAACCAAAGAACTTGCATTTTTGTGAGTTCAATTTTCTATAATTAAACTGAATATCCCATGTCTATAAAGTAAGCAAGTGAAATAAAATCTACTTTAAAATGCATTCAGTCTACTACAAGAACAAAGAATACTGAACAATGTACAATTATCATATGGCTTAAGTGCAGTTCAGGCCAAGGGCAAGAGCAGTAGGATTACTGTAATGCCCTTTCTGCTGAAACTGAGTCTGTAAATTATTTTGTTCTCAATTGCAGGGAAACATTTAGTTCTTCTGAGATCTAAATCAATGTTGGTAGAAGAAACCAAATCAAAGAATCTCTGAAATTTCTGACTGATCATTTCCGTGGAGACGTGGCACTATTTTAAGGCAGCTGCGTCTTTGAAGAGTCTATACTCTATGTTATAACACAGTCAAAGATTGTGCAATTGGTTTAAAATAGGGATGTTGACTTGTAGTTACTAAATTGATCTGATCTTATGCACTCAAAAAAATAGCTCATTAGGTTAACTCAAGTTAATTGTGTGCAGGTTTTCCATCCAATAAGTGTTCGTAGCCCTAATCAAAAGAAAGATAATTTACATAACGAAAAGTAATTGAGTTAGTCCAACTCAATTTTATCAAATATAGCCAAGCAAATAAAAATTCATTAAATTACTATAACTGATTTACATTCGTTCAACTAAATATAAATTAATTAATTGGAAATATTTATTTTTCATTTGATCCCGTTACTACACACACACACTCAAAAAATAGCTCATTAGGTTAACTCAATTTAATTGTGCGCAGGTTTTCCATCCAATAAGTATGCGTAGCACTAACCAAAAGATCATTTACATAACGAAAAGTAATTGAGTTAGTCCAACTCAATTTTATCAAATATAGCCAAGCAAATAAAAATTTATTAAATTAATATAACTGATTTACATTCGTTCAACTAAATATAAATTAATTGGAAATATTTATTTTTCATTTGATCCCCTGTTACTACACACACACGCCAAACAGATTGTATCTTTTTTTATTATTGAAAAAACTTTTAGAAACACTTTAACAGATCTTGCATCTGGTGTGAAGTAAATGTATCCCATGTTTTCCAAAAGAATCAAACACATTAAGGGAGTAGAGGCACCAGCAAATTATGCAAAATGCAAACATTCCAATAAATCTGAATGCTAGCTTGATCAACATTCAACTTAATTATAACATGGATTAAAGGTACAATATATATATATATATATATATATATATATATATATATATATATATATATATATATATAAAATACGTTGAACAATAGAGGCTGAAACTAGTGCTTGTTTTACTTGACAAATTTGAATTGTAACAGACAGTTTTTAGTATCTGTCAGACCTTAAAACCAGAAGATATAAAACCAGTCTATTATGTTAATGATGCACAAATAAATAAATAAAATTATACCTAAAACAGAGCACATTTAATAAAATGTGAAGCAGCAAACTTTGTAACGTTTCTTAAAAGGGCATAACCTGAGAACAATAATATGAAAAATTACTTCGAGAGGTACAGCATTTTTAATCTGTGTAGTACAAATGGTCAATTCAAACAAAAACACAGTTAAAAAAAAAAGGCTGTGGGGACCAAATTTGGACTATAGGAAGGTGAAAACAGACCAAGACAGTTTGATTATAACAAGGAGACCCATTGTCACCAAAACTAGAACAATTTCTGAACATGTGACTTGGTCTGGCCAGTCATAATTCAATAATCTAAACGTCAAAAATTCAGAAAAAAACAACAACAAAAAAACAAAAAACAAAGCATTAGGTCAAGTCCATTTTAACAAGTGTTGCGTCAAGTAATTTCCTGACAGGTATGAGAGTAATGGAGACACTTGTTGACACTATACTGTACATGAATGAGCTTTGATGTGCAGATGTTGGCATCCCAAAAATAATAAATAAATAAATAAAAAAGTTGCATTGGGAAATCCAAACTTAAAACCTCATCAACCATTAGTTTGTAAGGGGTATCAATTATCACACCAAGTCACTCCATCACCCTGGCTACATAGAAAACATTTATCATAAAAACATTATTTTGCATTTGTATGTCCAATTTTTTTTTTTTTTTTACTTGTCCACATGCCTACTTTTTGTAGCTTAGCCACAATGTAAAATGTCACATGGAAAACATCCATGGGTTCAGTGTTGTTGATTTAGTAGATGAAAGATGGCAGAAGATTGAAAAGACAAATGAATCCCAAATACGAAAAGCGTAAAGAAACTTTATTTATTTGTCATCTGGTGTTCACTTTAAGAAAACAATTTGATTTTCAGCTGCTGTATCTTTGGATTGAGCTTGTGTCCATCCAGATTCATTATGATTTTCTGGATGAACTCAAAGGTGTACTTGAGGTTTTCTGGAAATCTCAGATCAAGGGCATAAATGAGCCCAAAGAGCACAACAAAACCCATGATGACACTGCCAACGTTGGTCAGAACTTTAATGCCTTTGATTACAATTCCCACATCCTGTGGCTCCCCGTTGTCATAACTTCGGATTATGTAAATCCCCATGACTGTGCTTGAGATGCCCCTCTCCACATCATCAGTGCCAGAGGCCTGAAAAGACAGATCATATGCAATGATAAATAATCTGTGTGCATTTGTGAAATTTATAGAAGTCAGAACATTTGTGAATCTGTGTGCATCTATTTACACTGACAGTTATTCAGTTTCATATTTGTGTGCCATGGGAGAAATAACGGAATAAAACTAGTTAACGTTACACTGTAGAGTTTCACTGTTAGAGACTACATGAGAAACAATCAAACTTACCAAATATGCCTTAAAGAATGAATCAGGATCTTCAGACCATTAAATTGATTGATAGATAAAATACATTGACTCAAATAGTCAGACGTTAATTCAATTGAGGTAAAGTTGGTTTTATATTTGCACATTCCTTTATTTAACGTTCCCTATATTATCTACTACGCTAATTTGAATATTGGGAAATCACACGTAAATATGACTTGAAAACAACATTAGCACTATTTAATTGACAAAAAAAAATTGTCCTTTGATAGTCATTGGCTGCTAATATGATTTCACTATTTAGTGCTTGCAAATAACACCTTTCTGAAATTATAGCAAGGAAAAAGTCTGAATGTGCGAATATTTAACCAACTTTACCTCAATGTTGATTCAACATCACCCCGAAGACAAAAAATATTAAATCAACGTCGGAACATTATGATAAAAAACGTTAATGTTAACTCTGTCAGTCTATTTTCTCCTGCATGATGAGCGACTGGCTAGCCAGCTAACGTTAGCCGTCAACTTTACTGAAAACCGAAGCAAAACTTTATCACGCTTGTTGCACACCGTCGAGAATATAACATGCATTCATAGCGAGGTACTCGCTGAAAAAGAAACGAATACTCACCAAAAAATGACTTCTTGTAGTCGGGAGCCTCTTCAACTCGTCTGCAGCCACAGGTGGAAAATGGTGGACGGAGAAACGCAATGCAGGTGGCAGTGAAAATGCACGGTCTCACGCATGCGCAAAACGGGGTCAATTTATTGAACTCATTTGATTTGGATTAATAAAGATTATAGGTGAAACGACTAATAAATTTTACGTTACATTAATTAAATGTAAATTAATATTTTAAAAATAAAAATATTTAAATAATGGGAACAGTATTTATTTGTGTAACATCTAAGAAGGGCTTGAATCATTTTTTTGAGTGTGGACCCTTTTCATAAGAGCGTTATGAGCCATTTAATGGTCATGTTGGAATATCTAATCAATTCCATGCATGTTCAATAAAAAAGGTCAGGAGATGATTTTCTTCAATGTAAAACATAAAAGTAATTTATTTGATACATGAGCAATATCACTTGAGTAGCAGTGAGATATGGCTGTACAGTATATCAGCACTGGTGGGAGGCGTGCGTTAGCGTCCCACCAGTGCTGATATATAGCCATACAGTATCTCACTGCTACGAGTGTGATATTGCGTTTATACAACAGTTCGAAGGCACAATTGTGTAAATAAATAAGAAAATCAAACAAGGAGAGTCTAAAAACCCCTTTTTATTAGGAACTACTCTCTTCCACCATTCATTCACATCTGCAGCTGCCGTCAAAACAGCAGAAAACATAGCAGTTACTAATTGACGTCACTTTAGAGCTAGTGTTTGAATGACTCTATAGTGTAATGCCTCAAAAAATGCTACCAAAATTAACAAGTGTGTCCCCCAAATTAAAGATAAGGGGCAAAAAAAATGCACAATGTCATGGACAGACATGTTTTGTCTATGAATTATTTTGTGGCATTAACACATAAAGTTATAAATGAAGTAATGAAATATTCACTCAGCGATCAATTTTAGCCAAGCTGGAAAACAAAGCTTTACAAACAGCATGAAAACAAGGAATTCATAAGCATTGATGAGCCTGCCAGTCACAAAACAGACTGGATTTTTATGCTTTATTGCTCATTTTGAAGCACATTTTGATTCATAAACCAGCAATGACCAGCAAATCACCTTAGATTTGTTTGAGATTTTTATAGCAGCAGTATGCTTTTGTATTATATTCTATAAACAACCAGATCAATGTCTAAAGAAAAGCTTTAGGTTCCTAGTAACACTATTCTAAACTGTGACTCATCGCCATGTTACAAACAACATGAACAAAAAATACTGCCTTTTTCAGAAAGCCATCAAACAGTCATGAAAATACCAATTCTACAGGCAGCTATTCACTTTCCAATCCCTTGACTCTTTACGGTTCAGTGGTTATTAATCAATGCCTGCCGAAGATGTTTTGAGAGGGAGGGCAAATCACTCTGGGTTTTGGCATTGAGTCCCCATAGAGAAACCAACACCATCATTCAGTGTGATTACAGCAGCACATCTCAAAAGCAGAGGTGATCGTTGCACTCAAGAGTTGCCCTGAGTCCTGTGCGGTGCTTGAAAGATGAGGCTGTACACTCTGTTTCAGAATGCAATGAAACAGAAAAGAAAGAAAGATAGAAAGATAGATAGATAGACAGATAGATACATAGATAGACAGACAGACAGACAGACAGACAGACAGACAGACAGACAGACAGACAGACAGACAGACAGACAGACAGACAGACAGACAGACAGACAGACAGACAGACAGATAGATAGATAGATAGATAGATAGATAGATAGATAGATAGATAGATAGATAGATAGATAGATAGATAGATAGATAGAAACCTATTGAACAAACTATAACAGAACAGATTGAATAGAACAGATTGAGCAGAACAGAATAGAATAAAACAAAGAAGATGATTGATTAGAATAGAATAAAATAGAATGGAATATAAAAGTTCAACTGAAACATTCAATAAGAATTATTGTATTTGGTCAAATAGGACAGAGTAGCATATAATAGATGAGAACAGGCTAAGAAAATAAAACAAAACCAATTGAGCAGGAAGAATAGAATAGGTGAGCAGAACAGACTGAGCAGAATAGAACAAGACTGATGAGCAGAATAGGACAGAACACATTGAACATAACAGAATGGAACATGTTTAGCAAACTAGACTAGAATAGAAAAGAATAGAATAGTTCAACTGATACATTCAAAGAGAATTTATTGTTTTTAGTCAAAATGGAATAGAATAGATAAAATGGAATAAAATAGAATAGATGAGCAGAATTTACAAGAACATGTTGATCTATTAATGAAATAGATTGAGAAGAACAAAATAGGATAGAACAAATTGAGCAGAATGAAACAAAACAGGCTGAGCAGGAGAAATAGAATAGAATAGAATAGAATAGAATAGAATAGAATAGAATAGAATAGAATAGAATAGAATAGAATAGAATAGAATAAATGAGCAGAATGGGATGAACACACAAAGCATAATATTATAGGTTGAGAAGTACAGAATAGAACAAATTTAGCAGAATAGAACAAAACAGGCTGAGCAGGAAAAATAGAATAGAATAGACTAGACTAGACTAGACTAGAATAGAATAGAATAGAATAGAATAGAATAGAATAGAATAGTTCAGATGGAACATTCAAAGGGAATCCATTGTCTTTGGTCAAAATTGCATAGAATAGAATAGAATAGAATAGAATAGAATAGAATAGAATAGAATAGAATAGAATAGAATAGAATAGAATAGATGAGCAGAATGGGATAGAACACACTGAGCATAAAATTATAGTTTGAGGATAACAGAATAGAACAGATTTAGCAGAATAGAACAAAACAGGCTAAGCAAAAAAAAGAATAGAATAGAATAGAATAGAATAGAATAGAATAGAATAGAATAGAATATTTCAACTGAAACATTTAAGGAGAATTCGTTGTTTTTGGTCAAATTGAACAGATCAATACGGAATAGAATAGAAACGAATAGAATTTATTGAGCAGAATACAATAGAACAGATTAAAAAGAGAACAAAACAGATTGAGCAGAAAGAATAGAATAGATGCACAGAACAGGATAGAACATTTAACAGAACAGAACAAAACATACTGAGCAGAAAAAATAGAATAGAATAGAATAGTTCAATTGAAACGTTCTGAAAAAGAATTCAATGTATTTTGGTCAAATATTCACAAGGGACAATCCAGATTTCTCACAATAAGTTCTGACAAGTCAGCAATTTATTACTTATCTGCAGTACTTGATATTTAGTGTGATTGCTCAATAAATGTGCGTTCACACCAGATGTGAATTGAAGCTTCAAGCTCAAGTGATTTACATATTAAGTAAATCCAAAAACGTCCTGTTGCACGAGTTGAGTGTTTTGCACGTTTGAGTCACTCGAGTTGGAAAATCTTAACTTTAGCGGACATTCACGCCATGTAAACCAATCAGGAACTTGCTCTTATAGAGGCGTGACTATGACATAGCGCATGTTGTTGGTTTCCTGAGGGGAAATCCTCTTGCCAACACCGGACAACAGCTTATCAAACTGGGCTTGGTTCAGTCAGAAGCACAGCTGAAAACCTCCATCATCCAGGTATAGTTTCTAGAGGAGTTCTGAACTCACAGAGCTGGATGCACTTCTGAAAGTATCTAGTGGACTTGGCGCCGAACAAATATACAGTTTTTCAGGTTTCCTTAAGCACATGAAGTAGAGTGAAAGATAAAGTGGGGTTAGGGGTGGGGTTGGGTGCCACGCCTCCTTTTTAAAATCTTATATTTTTGTACGACTGAACGTACGAATTCTAACAAATTAGCCACTAAACTTACAAAACAAAAAATACTTACGTTTCCTCTTGAGATCAGACTGGTAAATCCACATCTATTGTGAAATGAATTTGATGCGTGAATGAAGTGAATTTGGCACAAGATTTAAGCGAGTAAACTCAATATTTATGCAATATATGAATGCTGTAATCCAAACTTTTGTGCAGACAGTGGCTTCTAAAAAGATGGGTTTTAATCATCTTCTAAATAAACTCTAGTGTGGTCAAACTGAAATATGAATGCAACATGGGCCAATCAGACCTCTAGACAAACTAAAGAAAATGATGTGATTTTTTTACCCATTTGAATTGAATATGGACATTGATATCATGTCTCATTGCAACAGATTTTTGTTTATGTGCAACAAAGTAAGTCCTGGCTCTATTCTGACACATTTATTCATTTTATATGCTATAAATATCTCATCTATATCTATAGACATAAAACAAGCAGTGGTTAGGGATATTTCTGTTCTTATGTTCAGTTTTATAAATGTCAGTGTGTACACAAAGCAGGATTAAATTTCTCATTTAATTTTTTGGTTCACACTTACAATAGTACAAATGTTAACACAGCCTAAACATCATTATTTATTCACTCACTTTCCACTGTGGTACAGATGATATGTACAAACCTCTCAAAAGGGGTCATTACAGTTAATTGCTTATTGACTCCCGCATGCTGGACTTTGTTGCATTAAACGGAATTAATAAATTCCATCTCATCAACTGCAGGAATCAAATTGGATTTCAGCCACAAAAGCATGGTGACTGTAACAGATGTATTATAAAACCACCAGATGAGGTATTGCCTCTACTGAAATGGACAGGTTTACTTCTTTTTTGACAGATGCCTTTTGTCAAAATTGTCCTGCAAGGTCATGCAATACTGTGCGGTGACAATTGATTTTCAGCTGATAGCAAAAGATGCAAGTCAAGGCCAAAGTCGAAGCAATAACTTGTGCATGGTGTCACAAACACTAAGACTGTTCATCTGAACAATATGATCATATGTATAGATTTATATAGAAGGTGTGGTTGGTATAAAAGATTCTACTACCATTATGAAAAAAAAGTCAGGCCACGGAGATGATCTGTCTTTATCAACATCAGAAATCCTGTGTACACACTATCGATTGTAATCCACATACTCTTTATCTCCAAAAGCAGATGACTACCATTTTCTAATCACTTAGATTGCTTTGATAATACTAAATGTCCCTAACAGCAGTAGTTTATAGGAATGAATGACATACACATGACCTACTTATTCTAAACTCTGTATTATGGAAAGAAACAATGTGAGGGGGGGGGG